TTTTATCTCAATAAAGCTATGGGGGGAAAATAGTCAAAAATAAATAAATAAATAAGAAACATCAGTCCATTACATATACTGTGGACTTCTTAGTGATCAAGAATGCATATTAAAAGTTATCAGAAACTCTCTAGTAAAGAATCTTCTTTAACTTTTAGACTAAATGTTCCTTAAATTTCTTGGGCTTTGATGTTTTTCCCTAAACACTAAGAATTAGCATAGCAGAGAACCATTAGGTATCCTGTGGTACAAACTTTGATTAATTCTACATTAAGTTTTTAGAAATCAAATCCTATTTACCTATGATTTATATCATCATTTCAGAAAGTTTTCTCTTTTTTGTGTTGGTTCTAATATTTTAGCTTGAAATTTAATTTCTAAATCAAGGTCACAGTTTTTTAAAAGGCCTTACCAAAAAATGAGAAGAATGTTTGGCGAATTATTTAGCAAAATGAAGCTTCCCGAAGAAAGGGAATAACATGGTACTCAATATTACCTTTTGTGCACTCAATCACTCTCATTCACTCATTCAACTACTTATTACCAGAACCAGAATGATGCAATGGGGAAAAATTCACTGAGGATGCGATGAGTCCTGTGACAGAGATAAGAATAAAAAAAGACTATTTCTCTCCTCTCTGGTAAGGGGTGAGGAAGTAGACAGGTCAAAAAAATCACAGCAAAGCTGATAATGGAAATCAGGATTTCTGGTTGCAAGTGACAGAAATCCAACACTGCCGCCTAGCTTAAGCAAAAGAGAGAATGCATTGTCTCATTACTTGAACTCAAATGTAGAACTGGCCTCAGATATGATCAACTCCCTGGGGTCAAAGGACATTATCAAGATTCCTTGCCGCCATGCTTCTCATCTGTATTGTCATCCCCAGAGCTTCAGTCATTGCCAGTGCAGACAGGCTTTTTCCATGAGACAAGGAGAACAGCAGACCCCAATTTATTTCAGATTCTTTCAGCAACATGACCAAAAAAGATAAGTCCTCTTCTCCACATCTTTCTCGGTCCACCAGTTGCAGAGAAGTATTCTTGAGTCCCAGACTAGTCATCTCATTCTAATCCACACTCAATCCCAGGAYCAGACCCAGGTGCTTAGGCACTGGAGCCCCAGGTTCCTCTCCCACAAGAACTCCCAGGGTTGCATTGGAGGTGACATAATTGTTCACATCTCTGGTTTCATACTGTGTAGGCAGTAAAATGGAGATGAAATTTCCCAAGCAAGAAACAGAAAATTTGCATGAAATTTCAGAGTGTAAATTTTAGGGGTTATCTTTTTAGTTCTCCTTGCTTGGATTTGGATTTTCTTGCAGGTAGCAAGGTAATCAGCTCAAAGACATAATGTATTTATCTTTTCTTACACATTTTGTTTCTTCCTTTACCCTACATTTACCTTTCCTTCCAAGAGACAAGTGAAACCACTGTTTTTATGAGAGAAGCAATATCAGCTATAGTACAAACAGGATATGTGTTCAAGAATCAGAAAACCAGGGCTGTGGATATAGCCCAAATGGTAGAGTGCTTGCCTTTTATGCACAAGGCCCTGGGTTCAATCCCCAGTACCACAAAAAATAAATAAACCAGAAAATTTTGACTATTCTTCTTAAGAGATTATTATTATTATTATTATTATTATTATTATTATTATTATTATTGATTTGTTAACTTCCTCCAGTTCTTAATTGTGTGTGACACAGTATGTCTTAGTGGAACATCAAATGCTATTGAATTTTGACCTAGGAAGGTATAAAGAAAATAATTTTATGATCTTATGATAATGCTTATTCAAAAGATAAATAAATAAGTAAATTTGAATAGACTGTTACTCAAAAAAATTTTAGCAACACAACCAATTGAATAATTTTAAATATTTAAACACAACACACACAAACCTGCATGTTTCTTTAACAATGCAATAAAATACTTAGGCTTTGTTCAAAATTCTTTATAAGGATTCTTGAACTTTGTCTTCCTAAGGCAAATTCAGTTTAGCGTTCCTGCAACTGTGCTCTGGGAACCCTATACAWCAAAATTACATGGAGGTGCTTATTAAAGCGTAAATACATTGGCATACCTATTGAATTAGAATCTTTTTGGGGAAGTCCCAGGAATCTTGTTTAAACTTTGTAAATGACACTTCTGCACCATAATACATGAACTCTCTTCTAAAACTTTGGGAGTTTAATTAGGATTTCTGGTTGTAGTGTCAGATATTTTCATTTCTTTAAGATGGGATAAACTTCTTGTGAATTCCATGAACTTCATTTTTTCAGGAAAATGTAATTAGCAATCCTATGGGTCATGCTGTTTTGAAGTTCTGCAACAATAGTAGCTATAGGCATAGTTATATAAAACAGAAGTCCTTCAGATTTAAAAATACTCTAAGTAGGTCACATATTAATGAGTAGGAAAGGTAAATTCCATTATAACAAATATATAACAAGCAATTCAATGTGATATTCTTATAATGGGTACACTGCAGGAATTGACTGGTGATAATTAAGATCCAACTGAAATTAATCATAGCAAAATTTAACAAAACTCATTACAGTTGTAAACTTTCTTCCACATGAACAACCTCACCTCTTTATAAACAGAATTTTACATAAGGCAAGCTACAAGGAGTTAATATACACACTTCAACTTCTCCCCTCAAGAATATGGCAGGAGCTGCAAAGTTCAAAGACCCTGTCTCTAAATAAAAATGCAAATGAGTCTTAGGGATTATGAAATAATTCCCTCCTACAAATAAAGAAACCAAAGATCAAATCACATGGCTGATGACAGAGCAAGATGGAAAATCCAAAAGTCCTGATTTCCCAGTCCTTCTCCAACCAGTGTGTATAATTAAATAATTCCTCCTGAAATAGCCACTGTTCTCAAATATGCAATATTAGCTGAAAGCAAGCATTTTATATAAACACAACAAATAAGCTATGGAGTAAAAAGAAAACACCACATAAAACATGAGACTTGAAATAAATTCCACTCTGCTACCTTGAATTACTCATTGCTTCTTTCTTGTAATTCAGGCCACACAATACAATCATTTAAAAAGTCCAGTGCTACCTCAACTTCCCTACCAAAATCTGACAAAGCTAAAACAGAAGAGACAATGTGACCCCAAAATAATCATGGATAATTACTTGAGGTTTATGCAGATAGATGCAGTATGGTTGAGAAGAAACCAAGCAATGTTGTTAAGTTCTTATAATTTAAGCATCTGCTATAGACCTGAGCTTGGGTTTCATTTATTTATTCTATTTCTTAAAAAAAAATCAATTGACAGGAAAGCAAAATTCTACCCCAAATTACAGTGTATTGTATTACAGAAGAACTACTGAGCTATATTGAGTCAGAAAAGTCACACAATGGAAATGACATTGGCTGTGTCTAGAAGTGCAACCAGGAGTCTATCTGATGGAATAATGGGAAAGGAAAAAAAATCATTTCGAATATTGAGAAAACATATGCAAGGTATATAAAGTATAAGTAATCAGATAAGCACTTGGAAAGAGAGATCCAGAGAAGACTATATTATAGACAAAAGCATTGATTCTAGCTTGGCACAGTGGTCCACACCTATAATCCCAGTAGCATGATTGGCTGAGTCAGGAGAGTTGTCAGTTCAAAGCCAGCCTCAGCAATGGGGAGGTGCTTAGCAGCTCAGTGAGACCCTGTCTCTTAATAAAATGCAAAATAAGTCTGGGGATGTGACTCAGTGGACAAATGCCCCTGAATTTAATCCCCAATACCCTCCTACAAAAAAAGCATTGATTCTGTGCCATTAAGCACAATGTGGCCAAAGCCAAATTATTTTCTAAAACAATAATAATCTACCATCCTTGGCCAAGAGACTGGTGACTGAAGGAGAGTATCTTTGAGAATCAGCTTCAGAAATAAATCTAGTTTTATGTTTCCTGTCTGGAGAGCTTTAGACACCCTCCCAGCTCTGAAAGTCCACTTCTTCAAGCAAGACTTCTAGGATTCCTAGAGTCCAAACAAAATCCTTGGAAGAAAAAAAAGCTTAATGATCAAATTAGAGGCAAAATTATACATCCCATGGTTACCATAAAATCTGATCTCTTTTCAAAGCCCCTTGGTATGTAAACTGTATAGCAGTATTTTTGCATTGATGAGAGACAGTGGATGATATAGCTAAGAGTCAAACAGGAGTTCTCTATTTATAAGTTGTGTTTTCTTTTTCTTTTTTTCCCTCCCCCCTCCCCCAGGGAAGTCACATACCTCTTGGGACACCATCTGTCTTACAGTAAAAGCCCTGCAAATTTGGMATGAACCTCAAGCATGATGCAACGCAGGGCACCTGTCATAGGGTCTATATTGGGCCTTCCACTGGGGCAGCTGAGTTATGTGAGGACTTACCATATAGAAGCCATAAGGAATATAAAAATAAATCTGAGTTGAATTTTGCTCTCATGGAACTCACAATCTCTAGTTGAGGTCACAAATAGCTATCCTGTAAGGAGGAGAGCAGTTACTACAAGAGAAAACAGAGGAATCACTGGGGAAGCTGGGAAGAGAGAGAACTTGCAGTATGAAGGGACTTGGTCRGAGAAAAGGAACTAGGATCTGGCGTGGAGCCTGAAGAAGAGAAGCTTCTGAGAAGGCACTTTCACTCCTTCCATGTGTTTGCAAGTATCCATCTGACCCTCTCACGGATGAAATAAGGAAGTGCCACAGATCACTCAACTTCACCACTGCAGTTCTGCAGCAGAGCAGAATTGAGAACTCCCCACTCTTCACCCAAAGCATTGGCCACGTATCACTCTGCCTCCTAAAACTGGGACCATTTGCAGGTGTCGAGGACAAGACGCGTTAGGGAAAGCAGCAGAAAGACTGTGATGGGGCAGTTGACTAAGGTTCCAGGACCGGGAGAAGGGACTCAGCTGGGGCGCTGTGAAAGGGGAGAGCAGGGGCGGGCCAGGGGACAGTGGGTGGGAGGGCAGACCGAAGGGCGGGCAGCTGGCGCGGGCCGCCCTCGGGCTGGGGGCTGTCCAGGACACTGGCCCAGGCTCAAGAGCCGGCACTCAGGCTTGCTGGCCATGGGGCAGCGGTCCCCAGCTCCGCGGCTGCTGCTGGCGCTGCTGCTGCTGCTGGTGTTACCGCCGCTGTCCCAAGCGCTGCGCGGGGCGCGCTGCCCGGAGCCCTGCAACTGCGCGCCCGACAGCGCCCTGCGCTGCCCCGGCCCACGGGCCGGCCTCACCAGACTGTGAGTACACCGCGCTGCCCTCCCACGCGGGACCCTCGCTCACTCCAGGCCACCTGCCCTGCCTACTTCTTTAGCCCTCTTTGCTGAAACCTGGGAGAAGGATGCTTCACCCTATCAAACTTCCCCTTTAGGGTGATAATACTCCTAAGGTTGTCTGTCACCCAGTTCCCCTGGTAGCCCAAACCCGCACTTTCTTCATGTTCGAAACCAAGGCAGGGGGCATGGAACTGCCCAGAAGCTCCAAGAGACGTCCTGCTTTCTGCCTCTGCGGAAGCKAACCTGGGTGCAAGGCTCTTTAATCAGCAGTGGTCGCCGCCAGAGAAGTCTTTGTGTGGTGTTTGAGCCTGGGCCAGCCAGGTCAGTGGGCTCTGCCACCCTATGGTGCCAGAATGGAGTGCTCAGCCCCTAGGGCCAGGGTGACCTGATTTATCAACAAGGATGCTGGCGGGCCTACTCCTCTACCTGCTTCCTGCTGAGCATACAAGTCCCTGCCCTGGCCCTGCCCCCAGATATTCTTGCACTTCAGTCTAGTAAGCTAAGCACTGAAAGGCCTTGTGTCTAGTTCCTAGTATGCCCCCACCTTCACACCCACAGACATGATTAAGGGAATGTGTGTATCAGCAAGCAGGTGCAGGAGGCTTTTGTTGAAGTCATAGGGTAAATAGGAGGAGGGGACCATCAGGTCTCCTTTCTTCCATTTAGAAAAAGGTTCCACATATTACATGATTCTATTTAATATGAATAACTGGATAGACTGAAAGTAGATCACAAGTTCCTAGGGGTTGAGCAAGTTGGGAGGCAAGCATTACTGCTAACAGGTGTGGGGTTTGGGATGAGGGGAAATATCTAAAATTAGATGGTGGTAATGGTTGTACCTGAACATACTAAAAATCTTGATATTGTACACTTTAAATGGGTGAATTTTATCTTACATGATTTACATCCCAATAAAACTGTTAGGAAAGAAATGTTGGGGGTGGTATCCAAAACACATCCTGGCCAGGAGGTCTTCAATATGTTTTAACTACTTGAGACAACTGGATTCTATGTTGGGGATGGAAAGAGACCACCCCCATCTTCTTTGGACCCCAGCTGCCAGTCAGGGGTCTGTTCCTGGAGGAATTCACCCTCTCCTCAGGGCTGGACTTTTCCCTGTGGAAGAATTAATGGCCTTCTGGGAATAGTTGTGGTTGAGAGAAACAGTTTAAGGGTTGAGGGGTTTATATTAATTAGTTTCCATTAATTATCTTGTCAGCTCCATTCCCTGAAGGTGATGACCATGCTGATAGAATTTGTTTCAATCAATCAACAAATCCATGGAACCTGCCTTCCAAGTTCCAGCCCTTGCCCTTCCGTGACAATCCTCCTGTGTTTCTCTTATGAATGATCGTGCCACTAATGGCAGTTTTCACTTGCTCAGTGCTTACACAGATTAGAAGAAACCACGATCCAGAGAGATAGAATAACTTGCTCAAGGTCCCATAGCTATTGAATAGCAAAGATAGCACTTTATCTATTAATTATCTTTTTATATCTTTCTTTGTAAGAAAATTACCTCTTACTTAATTTAAAAAAAAAAATACAACTTCTCCAAGTTTGGTACTGGGTAGAGAAACCCCTGTGGCAGGGGAGAGGTAAGGAATGGGTGAGACAAATCCTAGCTCACCTGAGATTCAACTTTTCACTGAGATCTCACAAAGCTGACATATTTATGCTGGCCTGAGGGGGGGGCCCTTTCCCTGAAAAAAAGCTGAAGAAAAAACAAAAAATCAAAATACTCTATCTCATTGTCCCACAGCATGGTTGGAAAAAGCCTAGAACTAGAAGCCATTAAAAGATTTGTGTGTGTGTGTGTGTGTGTGTGTGTGTGTGTATTGAAGCCAGGGTCTCATACATATTAGGCAAGCACTCTACCACTGACGTACATCCCCAACCCAACTTTTATTTCTGAACATATTTTTTTGCAGTACTGGAGATTGAACTCAGGGATTGGCATATGCTGGGCAAGTGCTGTACCTCTGAGCTACATCCTCAATCCATCCTCAAGATTTAACAGTGCTGACTAGAGTGAGGGGTAGAAGTGGGAGACCCACACAATAAAAGGATAGGTGGCAAGTCTGGTTCTCAAACAGGAGTCCCTTCTCCAAGCKATGAGGCTTTTTACTATCCACAAGGTATTCTGGAGAAATCTTCTACTTCCTCCCTCTGCAGGCTCCATCTTAACATCCATCCCTACCTCCCAACATCCTCTCCTAGACATTTGGAGCCTTAAACCAAGCATGATAACCTTCACAAGGTCATCTTTAATGTGGACCAGATGACTGAAAGGTGACCTTGTCTTTCAGGTGAGAATCCAATAGAGGCAGAGCCTATGTAGGATAACTTTTGGCACAACACAGTGACTGCAACATCCATATGACAAGAGTAATATGTATGAAGCAATAGGAAAGTTTCTATTCAAGGCAATGTTTCTCAAAGTGTGATCTGGACCAGCAGCATGAGCACCTAGGAAATGTTAGACATGTGTTCTCAGGACCTACTCCAATGAACTGAATCTGAATCAGTGGAGGTGGCACCTAGTAGTCTGCACTTTGGCAACTCCTCTGGGTGATTCTGATGTGTGCTCAAGTCTGAAAAACAGGGCACTGGTTTTTTGGTTAGTTGGTTGTTTTTTGTTTGTTTGTTTGTTTGTTTTAATCCAGGGGCACTTAATCACTGACAGGTTGTCACTAAGTTGCTGAACTGGCCTTGACCTGTGATCCTCCTGCCTCAGCCTCCCAAATTGCTGGGATTACAGGCATGTGCTACCATGCCCAGGCATTGTTCTTCATAGATATAATCCTCCTGGAGAGCAAGAAGTATATTTTAAACTTCCTACAGCCATACACTTTCCTTCCCCATCTTCCCCCTACCTACCATATACACAACACCTACTTATTGCAAAAGGCAATAAAATTAAAACCTTAAAATCAGAAAGAGATGAAAAATAAGCAAAATGGAGGAAAGTTTGTTTTATTAAAACAGGAATAGAGGAAGGAAAAGGACAGACTGAAGATACAAGGGATGAGGATAGAGTCATATTTATTGGAGGAAGATCTCAACAAGAAAGTAGGGAAGCAGCAGTTTAAGAACATAAGGGAAGAGATGATTTTGAGAGAGCAGGGATAGCTCTATGTCCTGGGGAATGGAGATGGATGTGCAAAGGATAACTCAGTGTTACCGCAGAGGGCAGGAAAAGTGGGCAGGCTCATGCTGACATCCCCTGTTCTTGATGATGACTGAATAAAACAGTAAGTAATCATTAAGTTGTGAACACCAAGTTTTCAGGAGTTCATAAAAAGAAGAGAGCTGAAATTATGAGAAGAGTGCAGTCTTGTACTAATTTATACATAGGGTTTGGCTCTGCAGAGAGAAAGGGAGCACCCCAGACTCTGGGGGTTGGGGGAAGCAAGTACCTCAGAGCATACTGAAATTCATCAGCATCCATCAGTAGATGATTGTTTATGTCAGTCATTTCAGGTCTTGATAACTCTACTTTCTAAGACCTTCATCTATTTGGTTTAAAAAGTAGAATAAACAAGTGCAGGAATTATAATTGCTTGTCACTGATGATCCCACTGCTTGAAAATTTTGAAAATGGAACTACTCAAATTGTTCATCTCTTTCCTCACCTTCCTTATTTTATTAACAACATAGGTATTTAAAATCTAAAATATGATACAAGAAATAGCCCATATTTTCACTTGTTCTAATTGATTTTAAATTTTTTCATTTCCTTTCTCTTTCTTATTAGTTCCAGGCAAATGGAAAGAAGGGGGGCGAAAATCTCACCTTGCACATGGTTATATAAAGATCTTTGTCTCTATGACAACAGAAAGGTTGATCTGCTTGATATGGAAACAGCTTCTGAAAAATCTGTTAGTAAGAAAATGCTAATAATAATTGTGGCAATTTATTTTTGAATGTTGTGCCTGCTAAACAGAGACGAAACTTTTAAACTATATTGTAAGACACAATCCAAAGACTCCGGAAGGATAAAAAGTATGTATCCACCAGTCCAGTGTCCCTCTTCTTCCCTGAGTGTCTTCCTCTTCCTTGGAAGTCAGGGTCCCAAACAGCACTTCAGGCTGTAGAAGTAGGCACATATGGAGGTGGTGGCTTCTGTCCTTGAAGCGGCAACACACCCCAAGAGACTAGTCTAGATGGGAAAAGAGAAGACAAGGCTGTAAGGTTTCAGAGAGTAGGTCAGTCACTATAACATGAAGTCCCCAAGGGATGACTTCATGGGCCAAATGTGAAGAAGATAAACCTTGAAAGAAAGAAGGGAAGAAGAGTCACACAGAAGAGTCCTTGCTGGGGGCTGGGGTTGGGGCTCAGTGGTAGAGCGCTTGCCTAGCATGTGTGAGGCATTGGGTTAGATCCTCAGCACCACATAAAAATAAATAAATAAAATAAAACTATTGTGTCCATCTACAACTAAAAAAAAAAAAATTTTTTTTTTTAAAAGTCCTTGCTGAAAAGCAAAGGAAAAGGCTGAGTGGACTCTTCCCTCTTCATGCTTCCCCCAGGTTCTCTGGGGGGAACTTTTTTTTTTTAAGGGAAGATAAAAAGCCATCAGAAATCTTTGAATAGTTTCTCAGAGGGCTGTACAAAAAGAAAATGGATTCTATTATGTAATTCTTGACTAATAATAAACTTTCAATAAAAGTCTTTCTTGGGTGGCTGGTTACAAAGACATTAAAGCCATGATTAGGAGTCACTTCCCCATGWAGCCTTCCTGGATGGCCACCACCAGAAAGTCCATGCACCACTCCTAGCCTCCAGCTTCTCCCTCAATAGGTTTGCTTTCATAACCTGCACTTCATGCATTTTTGCACATATCCTACCAGAATATAACCATTTGGTCAATGTGTACCTGTTCTGCTGGAGCAGGATTTTTGATCTCCAGTATTTTAACACTTGGGACCAKATAACTGTTTGTTGCAGGGGACTGTTTTGCA